GCATTGTTTTCAGTTGATGATTTTGATACGTTACAAATTTTGAGTTTACACATTTTGAAAATTAACTGTAAAAGATCTTTGGCTGAGTTAGACCATTTAATCACTGGTAATCAAAGGGTCTTTCAAATTTGATTTTTCAAATGCATTTATTCTGCATACTGGGATATAAATGGTTGTCTTAATGATTTTGAATTATTACGTTAAAGTGTCAAACAAAATTTATATTATGAAATACTGAGAGTTAATAAAAAAATCATAATAAATATTTCTTCATTTAATAAGAAATATTTATTATGATTTTTTATGAATTTTTTTATTAACCATTATATTTTTTCTTCATTTAATATGAAATATTTATTATGATTTTTTTATTAATTCTCCGTATTTCATAATATAAATTTTGTTTGACACTTTTGTAATAATTCAAATTCATTAAGACAGCCATTTATATATCCCGGTATGTAGAATAAATGCATTTGAAAAATCAAATTTGAAAGACCCTTTGATTACCAGTGATTAAATGGCCTAACTCAGCCAAAGATCTTTTACAGTTAATTTTCAAAATGTGTAAACTCTAAATTTGTAACGTATCAAAATCTTCAACTGAAAACAGTGCACAAGATTGATGCTAATTAGTTTTAACAAAGAACACTGTCTACTTTATGACTGTACTTTTTTATATTACTGTTTAAGTGTGCTTTTTTATATTACTGTATCAGGTTCTGTGTTCCTCCTTACTTGCTTTGGGAACATTAAATGTCCTGACTCGGAACAGGAAGCTTACTAAAGCTATGTTCAATAAATTTGGGAAGTAGACAATACACACAGGAAGGGTATACGAAACCCTTTATTTTTTCTCTCTTACAATGATTTCCGGACTTCGGAATACAGAGACCAACCACTTGTGGTCTGAACGTAAGAATATAAAAATATTAACTAAACTCTAACTAAACTTAACTGTTGGATTAATCAAACAAGTGCCTACTCCAAGATTGGCCGTATATTAGCAAAAAGCCGTATGTAGTACAGAGAACTGCTAACACTACGATACGTTTAAAATTATCAAGAGGATTAAACCTCTGGCCTTGAAGGCAACCAGCAACCGAGTAAAACTACTATGGCAAGCGGCCTGCTTCTAATAGCTCCTTCCTCTCTCTTGGCAAAAAGCCACAACTTAAGTACTTGGCGTTCGCAAGACAAATTTACATAAATCATTGTAAAGCTTTAAATTCTGGCCGGAAGTAGAAAATAAGAAGTGATAGTAAAGATTTAAAATAAAATAAACGTTACTAAAACTTAAGATCCTTACAACTGTTTTAAATTTTTTTCATGAAATAAATTTTATTCTGTGTAAACTGAAATTGTTCTTTCACAAGTGAATACAATATTCTTTTCCTATAATAGCAGTCTTTTTGAAGCTCCATCAAAATATATCATACTAAAAAACATTACTTGTGTACCAGAGAAAAGAAACAGTTAAATAATTATGTTTTGTTGTAACATTATCATATTAGCCGTAAATATTAAAAATACAAAAAATTTACAGTTAACGTTTTCTACAATATGTTAAATAAATAAAAACTTACAGTTATGTTTTTTGTAATTCAATTCAAGTAATTCTTAGTTACTATCTCGAAATAAGAGTTCTAGTAAATATTAGAATAAACAAGATTATGTAATTTCGCCCAAACGTTATGCTTTAAGAAATTTTTAAATAAGCCTACAATGCATGAAATTTTACATTTCAAACATGTGTTTCACTTCGAAATATTACTTTTATTTCATGAATTCATAAAAATTAATCTGTCCTTAAACAAAAAGCTCCATAAAACACAGAGCATAAAAATACGCAGTGAAAGTCCTCCCACCATTTAGTAATAAGCCAGCGAGCACTAGTGACACTGAAAACCATTTATACAATGTAAATACTTTCCGTTGCAAGCCATTCCGGAATTAGTGAATCATTGACGTTGATATCATGCAGATTCTTACAGCAGTAACGTCTGTCACAGAGGATTCGTAAAAACAACTATTCAAAGATACCATTAATAACGTAAATACTAAGAGATATTTTAACAGCTATAACATCGTAATTACGCACAGAAGACAAATTCTCGAGGGAAAAAATAGTGATATTACAAGGCTGTTAAGATTTTCACAGTATTGCTGTAGTTTATTTGATTACAATAGATTGAAAAAATAGTGTTCTGTATTTTGCTTTCAAATAAATGCGAAATTTTTTATTTTGATGAGAAAATTACGTCATCCTGAGTATGTTGTAAGGGGTAAAGTAAAGGCAACACCAGGACCGTCTTTCATCGATTACCAGGTATATTTCTTCTCTACTAGCCTTCTTTGAGAGCTTCTATGAGAGATAGAAGTGATTGCACCGAAAACTTCTAATTTAAAAGCTGTATTTATTTTTCGCTACAGAACCCGCTCCGCAATATTCAGCAGCTTATTCCACGCAACAGAAGCTTAGCATTGCATGCAAATGAATTATATAAATACATTTTAAGAAGATAATAGTACCAAATTGATTGGTTTGGGAAAGGGCTGTTAGACTTTCCATCAGTTATTATGCTTCATAGCCATTTCTGAAATATGTATGCATATATATTATAGAAAGAGTATTCACCGATAACGATTTTCTTCATGCAAATTAATTAGTTTGCCAATTTCGATCACACACAGGTTTACTTTACTTACAATAATTTTAATTTAGTTAGAATCTTATACTAATATAAAATATAGTATAAGATTCTAGATAAATCAAAGATATTGTATTGGCTAAATTAAAGTTATTGTATTGGCTAAATAAAGTTATTGTATTGGATAAATTAAAGTTATTGTATTGGCTAAATTAAAGTTATTGTATTGGCCAAATTAAAGTTATTGTATTGGCTAAATTAAAGGTATTGTATTGTATTGAACTATGAAGCGACTATTAGCTAAGTTCAAACTGTATCAATAACAACAAGTGAAAAGACCTTTTTTTTTATTAAAGACCCTTTTATTCAGAAAAGATCCTTTTTTATTCCATTTATTTATGGAAAGTATTTACAGTAGACACTCCTGGTGCTTATAATTTAAGCCAATAAGTTTGGTTGTAACTCAAAATAGAAATGTAAAATTAAAATAATCAGCCAAAGCTGCAAAGAGGCAATTAATGCGCTTATTGTTGTGAATAAAATGGTTACAGCCGAAAACATCGCGGCGAAAACATCGCAGACGAAAATGTCGCGGAGAAAACAACGCAAGGCGAAAACGGTCGTGCTACAAAACATCGTGGAGAAAACATCGTGGGAGAAAACATCGCCAAAGAGAAAACATCGCAGTTCTAAAACATCGTGGTACAAAACATCGTCGTCGAAAATAAAGCGGTTCAAAAAACATCGCAGTTTAAAAACATCGTCGTTGAAAATATCGTGGTAAAAATAAAGTATCTACAAATCATCGCATGACGATAACATCGCAGACATGCTTTTTTCAGGCATGCTTTAATAAGTGTAAATGGATATTCCCATAATGATTTGTGAGCGCAAGATGGAAAGAAGGATAATTTTTACTTTCATATTTTTATTAATTAATAAATTTTTGCTGAGAAAATAAAAAGGAAACTTAAGCATAAAAAATTAATGCAACTTATAGCACTTAATAGAATTTTAAACAGACATAGTTAACTAACAAAGACCATTAATAAATCATTTTTATAAAGTTTTTACTGGTAATATTTCATGAAAAGTATAATCTATAAGTTACATTTAATTTTCTATGCTTAAGTTTCCTTCTTACGTTTTCAGCAAAAAATTTATTAGTTAATAAAATATGTGAAAGTAAAATTATCCTTCTTTACACCTTGCGCTCACTAATCATTATGGGAATATCCATTTACAATTATTAAAACCTGAAAAAAGCATGTCTGCGATGTTATCGTCATGCGATGATTTGTAGATACTTTATTTTTTACCACGATATTTTCGACGGCGATGTTTTTGAACCGCTTTATTTTCGACGACGATGTTTTGTACCACGATGTTTTAGAACTGCGATGTTTTCTCTTTGCGATGTTTTCTCCCACGATGTTTTGTAGCACGACGTTTTCACCTTGCGTTGTTTTCTCCGCGACGTTTTCGTCCACGATGTTTTTGCCGCGATGTTATCGGCGGACACCGAATAAAATTTAGTTGCAAACAAGTATCATATTCGTGGAATTTAACCTATCGAAACCTATCGAATCGAATACTCTACGCTTGAGTCATTTAGGCAGAACACATTCTAAATTCACCTTCCAAAATCTTCCCGTAAATACTAACTTGTTTCTACCTCATCTAAACATACGCGAGCTGACACATTTACATTCCGGTAAGAAAGAGTGAGTTAAAAGCAACAGCGATAGGAAAGGTTGCTTCAAAATAAAATTAACTGTTAAGTAAATTAAATAAAAATGAGTAAATACTTATGAATATATCGTCACATTTTCGCTTGCTGCTTCAAAACCAACACGTGCGGCTCACTTATCTGCTATATCATCCATTACCTTAAGATGCGCTAAGTTTCCCGAACTGTGTGGTGCATATTGTACCCATAATGATGAGAGATTAAGCGGTTTAAGAATTGCTTTATCCAGTAACAAAATATGTTAACACCTACGGCTTCTTTTGTCTGCAAGTTTTATTCTTCTATATGCAATAGATCTTCCTAATATATCACACACACACAAACACACATACATATTTTAAACGTCCGGTACATTGTAATGCATACAAGAGCTCTCATTTACCTCTTTGTCTCAGGTGAAAAAATATGTTGGCCCGACTCTGCAAAGATGAGTAACAAAGAAAACTTCTTACTTAAATGGATGAATTAAACCTTTCATCCTGTGTTGGAAAGATGTTAAAAAGATGTTAAATACTTACTTTCAGATTCCATACCAGAGATGTATGTGCCGTGGGATGCATATTACCTTTGGGTCCTTCAAAGTCTCGTCTTTCTTCACCGACGTTTGTCTGAAACCCGTGTGCTTTGAATCAGGTAACTTTTAGTTTCTCTTTGAATCAGTGACTTCTAGTTTAGTACAAGTGTTTAGGCAAAATAATCTAACCGGATAGCATATTTCACAAGTGCACATCAGCGTAGCCACTGAGTTGGGGGGTTTCGAAAATGGACCAATGAGCTTCTATTGCCCTTATGAGGCTAAATCTTCGTACATGTGAGCGTATGTTATTTAAGTTTTAATTTGAATTTGTTTCGCAGTTATAAATGTATGGCGTAATAGTAGAAAATCTCGTAGTACTTTCGTTTTATGAGTTTAATTAATTGCTGACATTTCACTTTCGCGATTTTTATAACGGATTATTATTTGGATTGATGTTTACGACATATTATATCTCTTTACATTGAGAAAATGACTCTCGTTACAATTAGCTTCGAATATTACGCATTTACTAATATCTGTGGATTAACATAAATCAAGTGTACAGTTTTTTTTAATTGAGCTGAGAAGGACTGAAAGTGTTTGATGAGTATTTCTTGTGGAGACAGTACATTTAAGAGTGAGCAGTTCTTAAATGTAAAATTTAACACAATGAATACGAATGCGAATTAGTAAAGTTCACTTTGAATAAAATTCTGCATTGGCTATTACTATAGAACATCTTTGTCATATAGATTGCAATAAAAAGTGCTGACTTCTATTTACATATAGTATAATTGGTGTAAATATTTTTCTCATACGCATAGTATTATGTAAAGATAGCATTTGGGATCAGATGTTCATCACATATTTCTTTCTTCATCTTATTTATCTTTTATTAAATAATATTTCACATGGATATTTTTGCGGAGCGTGTAACATGTGTTTGTATTCATTTCAAATTCTTTTAATCAGGTAGGGAAACCTTCACAATTGCTTATATTTGATCTAACTTTGCAATGAAGATTTTTAGAAGAAATCGACGATGCTTTGATTATTCTGTTTAAAAGATTGCGTGGCAAAATATTTTCAACCATCTTGCTTAAATCTCAAAGCACGCGAAAGGTCATGTGACATGACACAAATAGTACTGTATGCCCATTGGTCCATCCTAGAAGCCACTCCCTCGGTGGCTATACAGATGTACACTTGTGAAATATGCAACCGGATATTGTTTAGTCACTGCTAACAAGACACTCTTTTGTACTTCGCTGAAACATTGCAACTCTTGGGATCTTGACAAAAAAATGTCTGAAAATCTTTGACACTTAGCGGACTTAATCTCTTTTTCTTTTATCTATCCAGAATCGAATTAAGCTACCGTATTTTGTAAAAAATCATTCCGAATGGAAGATTTTCGGGCTCATGTTTGCGGTTTTACAGCTAAGACAGCAGAGGTAGGGCATTTCCCTGTATTTAATTTTTCTAATTTTGATCCAAAACATCCTAGAATATAAATACTGACATTTACTGTACTGACAATAATACTGACTGTTGTTATTTTCTAAGGAATTCTTCAGAAAATTTTGACTGGTTTCTTTTTCTCTCTAAATTCTGCAAAGGCAGAAAAGTAATTATGTAAAGTTAGAAACTTTTATGTTTAATTCTCGATTGGGATCTAAACAGAACTGAATAGAAGCGAACATTTATTAAGTCCCTTTCAAAGCAGATATAGCTGACAAATATTTGCTAGTTAAAATGTGCTGCAGTCTTCTGTAATTTGATGACATAATGCAATTGAAATTCTTATACGTCAATATGAGATTTACTTATATGGCTGTGAGACACAGAAAGTATCTTCCTTTTCTTAATTTAATGTAAGGAGAATGTTACATTCTTAAATGCACATTAAAAACCCATTCTCATCTTAATTTTACATATAAAACATGAAAGCTTTCAGATTTTATATTACGCCAAAGGGGCATTTTTACACTTACCTATACATACACATTTTAACAGCACTTGTGCTAAAAATATTTTAAAATAGCGTATCTTTCGAATTTCCGATAGAGAGTCTCGCGCGCTGAAGATCAATTTCCTTTTCCTTAGAGTGTTGCCATTGCTCGCTTTAAAAACGTTGAGTTTGTTAATAAAAAATTCGTTAAAAGGTTTACGAAAACTGAAGTAGACAATAAAACAAGTGCGAAATATCAAATTCGGACTTACAGGTGTCCGTATTCAATTGCAAGGCTACGTTATTCGAAATTTGATGGATTTAGGTAGCGTTGTTTTTTTATAATGGAAAAAACATGCATACATTCATGCAGATTCTTCATTATTTAATTTCTTTAAATATAAAACAGAGCGATAATGTTTGGATGGCAATAATATAAAAAAAGAGACGCCAATTAAAATGAACTCATGCAAAATGCCGTTTCGAGATTAATAACTTTCTAAACTAACGCTCTTTTGGACTAAAATGAAATATTTCAAGGTAAAACTTATCACTTATCTGCATTATAAAAATTCAAACATTTGTAGGTCACTTTATAATTCACTTTTCTTTAAGTTTATATAGAGATAGAATTGCCATAATTTTGTAAGACATGAGTCTGCTTTCTTTCTGCTGTTGTAAAATATTTTCTTATTGGTCCCATTCTATGCTACTTCGTTGCTGAAACTCTGTCGAAAAAAAGTCGTGCATTTTAAATAATAGCAAAAGATCACACAAAGCTACCATTAAAAGAATATGCGAAACTAAATCATTTAAGGATTAATGTAAACTGCGTGTAAATGTAACCTATTGAAATTAAGATTTTTCTCATTACTTGCAACAGATAAATTGAAGTAATAAGACGTCCCCAATGTATTGCCTTTAAATTTATATTTACAAGGTGAGTCAGAAATATGGCAAAAAATTTAAGTCAAATGCGATTTTTAAATTTTAGTAGGAAAAGGAGAAGCATTTATTATTCTAAAGGGGCTTTGCCCTTGAGGGACTATTGCTTTTGTTTTGGCATTTTGCGTCGAAACCTTTAAAAAGCGCGATCACTTTTCAAATTGTTGCCATCAAATATCATCACCCTGTATTATATTTAAAGAAATTAAATAATGAAGAATCTGCATAAATACATGTATGTTTCTCGCATTGTGATAAAACAACGGTACCTAGAGCCATCCAATTTTGAATGACGTAATCCTACTGCGAATATGGGATCTGAAAGCCCGCATTTGAAATTTGGAATTTGTTTTTTATGATCGATTTCATATTTCGTTAACACTTTATCGAATTTTTGATTAACAAGCTCAAAGATTTCAAAGCGAGCAAAAGCAACGTTGTACAGAAAAAAAATATTTTTATCTCCATCGCGTGAGACTTTGGATCGGAAATTCTAAAGATATGCTCAATTTAAAATTATTTTATGATTCTGCTCTTGAACTGAATTTTATGGTTTAAGTGCGAAGAAAAAGATATTTAATAAATAAAGGTAACACACAAAATGTTAAAAAAGCGCCCTTTTGGATGTAATTTAAACTCTGAAACCTTTCAGATTTTATTTTTTAATTTAACTTTAAACTTCATTTTTTCGTTTTAAGTATGTGTCTCGTGATCCAGTTTCTATCATTAGCCAATCTGACGGTGAAGGTACAGGAGTAAATTTCAGCAGCAACAGAAGTGTTTGCGTTTTCAGTCATCCGAGCGGTGATTGATCTTGTTAAAACTCTCCAGCCGGCGAGGCCGTATATGTACGGTCCAGAATATGTTTTGTCATATCATTAAGTACAAATATATACGTGCATACTAAAATATGTTCAAAATATTAAAGCAGTATATTAAAAGAAAAATATTTGAGGTATAAATACACAAGAGTAATTTACTATAGAAACAAAGAAAATAAATACCTCATTCTCAAGAAAATTTGAGGTTTATGTACGAAACTCTTGGCTTGAATTTTCTGAGCATTCCCTAGGATGCTCGTAAGAGTTGTTGTTGATCGTTCCGGAGAGACATGATTTTATTATCGTATTGCTGCCATTGACTATGAAAAGTAGTGAAAATTATTATTTATTACAGAAATGCGCAAAACATAAACTCTCTTGGAAGGCTTTGACATAACATATTTGAATGCAGCGACAGCGGTCAGTATTGAAAGCTTTTGAAACGACAAGCAATTTAAGCCAGTAAAATGAGTGTGGTTGGTATTGTTAAGTAATATTTTTGAGTTTGGAGACTTGATATTTTAATGGCACTGTCTCATTTCCTCAATGATAAGAATGTCATCATACAATATTATCAAAAATGCAGTCATGTTTCTGACTCAGTCTAGTCAAGTGTTTTATACATACGCCAAAAATAAGTGAAATGTTCTGTTTCAGATTTAGAAACTGATGACCTACCAATGGACATTGATCGTATTTTAACAACCTCAGATGCCTATGTCTGCCTTACACCTGAGTGTGTCAAAGAAGGTAACATTCAGACTTTTTATCAGTCAATTTCTTAAAAATGCTTTCTTTTTTGTTCGAAAGAATAAACACTTTACCTTTAAAATGGGTTATATTGTAAAGAAACTTCTCAGCTTATGATTAAGCTTATTTATATTCGTATAGAGTATAAGTTCAGAAACATTTTCTTTAATTCTAATTGCTGTATTAAGACAAGGCTTTTTAAATTTTTCTTACTGATTGCACATGCGTTTTTTCATCTTAATTGACTATAAGGTAGCGACCCAAAAATAAATAACTGAGAACCTTTACTGAACATTACATAAATACAGAAAAATGGTCACGAGAAGAATTAAAATTTAGTAAATTAAAATTATGCTAATTTAGAAAATTACCACTACCGTAATGTATATAGTAAATTAAAGATGGCTAATTTGTATAAGGATACAATTTGTGTTGCGTTCTTTTACGCACTGTACGTTCTTTTGCCATAGTTAGGACTATATAATGATTTACACTAGTCATATCAAGAAATTAGAAGTATTGTTGCGTTTATCTCTTCTGACACCAGTTGTTACGTTATTTTCTTTCTTCACGTTCGTACGGGGTTTGTAGATTTGGAGTGAATAAAGACGACACTTGATGAAGTATCGAAACACACTTTATTTACCAATATTGTCAGGACAGCTCCAAAACACGTTTATACAGTCGTCGATGAACTGCTATAGACACGCTGACAAATTCAGCGACACAACCTTCACACTGTCAGGTAATAACGGTGGAGACAGCTTCACTGCAAAGCACCCGAGTACAGCTCCCAACTCTGCTTGGTTGTTCTCGGAACTCCCACGTACTTTTGAGACTCTCCACTCGATGCGCTCGATGATACACTAGAGTATAGCTCTCGATTTAGCACAATCTAAGACAAAACTCGACGATGCACTAATTCGCGATGCACTAAAAGACTCTGTCGATGTACTCGACGACCAACTCGGCGCTAGACTTCGAGACACTCGGTCAATGACTGACTATCAGCTCGCTAGACGAGGGACACACACACTAACTGACTGCGGACCAGCAGGGTTTATATAGCTTTCGGCTTGTGTTCGAGAACATTCTGGGTTAAACCGGTAAGAATTCGTTCCAGAAGTTTCTCCATCCGTCCATGGTATATCGCCAATTTGTCGCCAAAGGGCAATTTCTCGCCAAATGTGACAACCCTGTTTTCCTTTGCCATTTTATGGCAACGCTAAACCTGCTTTGCGGGGAAGCCATCTTACCGCGCCTGTACATTTCGTAACACTATATACATCGAATTATCTTTTACAACAACATAAGTTGAGAAAACAGTAAATACATCGCCTGCAATATCAAATTCAGTCATAGTAATACACTTTAAATATATTCATTGAAATGCATTTTTGTTCCCCAAGTATTAAGGGGAGGGCGAATTTAGAAAGTTTTTGACGATTTGTTTCTTTGAATACGGCCAAGCATAGACCAACTATCTACCTTACGGAGAATATGCCTTTGCAAAGAACTTTACATGAAAAGCCTAGCTGATATTTAAATTATGCATCGCGTACAGACCATTAATAACTTTGTAAGCCAAATGGCTCGCAATGGTTCAAACCACTGTTCAGCTACTCGTGTTCAACGGTCTTAACAACTCTACGATTGGTATCCACATTATTATATCAAAGTAAAAAGTGGGTAAGATATATTACATAGAAGCCAGATCATAATGACCTCGACGTTTTCGTGGTTTTCCCCCATTTGTAACGTGTATACGAGCCACTTCCCTTTAGAAAGTCCTCCGCGAAGGCATCCCTCCTCTCAGGCAGATAGCCCTCGAAGCTTTGCCATAATGACACACAAACACATAATGACCTCGAAAAGAAAGTTCACGTAGTCAAATTTAATTTTCTAAGCCGAGGTGGCATTAAAGGCTCCATTTCCGCATTGGACAATGGGTATCTGACCATACATACATACTTTGACTATAGTTTTCAGGAAATCGAAGGCGTGCATACGTAATTGTTGTAGCACCAAACAAACTTACATAGAAAATCTATTGGATACTGGCTCACATGAAATATCGGGTAATGAAACCATGGATGCAACAGCCACCAAGCCCCATGTTCGCGTAGTTCATGTACCCGTTCCGGGCACGTTATTGAACTCCGACCTGAGAAACGAATTACCGAAAATTTAACATACATGGAAAACAGAATTACTGGTAGAAGAGCCCACAGTTGTTTTTCCATGAGTAGACCCACTCTTAAAAATGAGCCCCTTATTTATTAAGTTTCTAATATATCATGAGTCCTTCATTTGTTAACTGCCTTGCTTTGGAGGACAAGAAAATGAAGAGTGCTTACGCGGGCCGCGAGATAGCCGAGGACCCGGATAATTATATGTTATATTGCAAAGACAGCAAAGACGCCTTGATGACAGTCTGCAGTGCTACAGACGTCATCTTACGTGTCAGATTACTTATCAAATAGTGTATCAGATTTTCGTACTTATCTCTAAAGTGTGTATTTCAATTCAAATCATACTGAATGTGATACGGTTTCCTTGCACATGAAAATTTCTAATAATCCGAAGATGTATAATATTATATACGTATCTTTATGTCCTTCTGCTGAGATAATCCTAAGGCTAAAGAATATTAACATTTCACGGAATGAGAAAGCTCCGCATTTGTCTTGAAATTCTGATGTCATAGATATTAAGAAGGTAAACAAAAGATTTTTATAAAAATCTGATATGGACACGACATGACTTCCGCATGCGGCCCATTAAATTATACAGAGTTTTTGCTTCATTTCATTAAAACTTACTTCTTCCAGTTATTCTAACGTAATTAACCAGTCCCTCAAAGTAAGTTAAAAATGACATTAAAAACTGCAAATGTTCAAATTAATTAGCTTGCCCAATTTTTGTCGTACGGGAGTCAAAGTTCTAATTTTATTTTTTCATAATGAGTGAAACACTTTTCCAAACATAAGTAAAGAAATCGGGAGATAGATTCCTTTATTTGTCGAAAACTAATTTTCTTTAAAATTTGAAATTGCCAAAACATGAATATTTTCGTCATTTAAAACATTTCTGTAACTGATAATACATGACTATGTCAAAAAGTTGTAAAATAAAGGCCGGGTAAAGATTTTAAAGCTATGTAAGAGGGTGAGTAAATGAATATCTATCCATCTATCTATCTATTTGTATATATAGATATATATAGATAGATAGATAAATAGAAAGATATACATTTGACACTGCCGATTACAATAAAAAGGGAAATGCAAATAGATGTTATAAGCATTCCCATATGAAAAATTTCAATATTCTACTGCAAATCGTTTTAGAATTAGGAGAGATATAAAGATACATATGAATACATACGCATATAGTATACACATATACATACGAATGAGTGTACGTACGTACAGACGTCATGAAAAATCCCTTTTGAATTCATTTTTAAGTCCATTGTAAAACTATCCATCTTACAAAAGTGAGTCTTTTATTCTGTCCGTACCTACAGATGTCACGTAAAAGATCGCCCAAATGGAGTCGGAAACGGTTAAATTGGATATATCCGTTGAAATATAATGCCTGAAATTTTTCGCTATTAAAATACTTACTTTACAAGGCAGTAATAAAACCTACTAAATTAAACGCTGACTGCATAAACATGATTTACGATCTACTATTTATATGAAAATTTTAAATTAAGCAATTTTCAGTTTATAAGAATTTTTTTTAAATGTCTATATAGTTTTCTCTCTCAGCCATTTTTTTCTATACTTGATAAGCATACAATTCTTATACATTTAAATATTTATTTTGTATATTTTTAAAGAATAAATAAAATGCAATATCCGGCGAAGGTGGATAAGCGATTTTTCAATGGTGGATAAGCGTTTAGTCGTCTTAAATGTTAATTTAAAGAGGATATAGGTCATAAAACTTTTAAAATTTAAAATTTTGGTTTAAAAAAAAAGTAGATTATGAAGATTTCACAAATATAAAATTTATGCATGTTTCAAAATTTTAAACGACCGAAAATGTAAACAATCATTGGTACGACTACCAGTTTATAAGATGTAGATGTCTGGTGTGGCTACAATAAAGTCATATCAGCTGGCAAGAAATTCGTTCATAAACATTTAATTCGTCCATAAACATTCTTAGTCAAAACCCGTTTTATTAGCTGTTAAAAGTCTCTCTGACAAAGTACATTAGAAGAACTCAAATCCCGAAAGAAAGTTTTAATAATTGCATCTAGACACGCATACCAAAAACTATTTTTGTGCGTGTCATTGCATTAAAATTAGGTTTGTTTGATGCGGTAATATGTTTTAATGATGATGTAGGAAGCGTAATAAAGTAATGTAACTATTAGAATACAAACAGGATTTTATAAAGTCTTTGTGAAAATAAATTGTGACAGAATTCGTTAGGCCCATCTCGCTTACCTAAAGCTTTCTAAAATGGCCAGAAAGAAAAATAAATTGATAAAACAAAACCTAGTAATTAAATAATTTAATAAAACATTCAAGATGCTTATGACGCAGGAAAATATTAAAATGATTTATGATTTTGTCTATAAATTATTAGTGTTTAAAAGGCTTTCTTTTAGTTTTTCTCAAAATGTGTTTTTTTAACTTTCGGTAATCGTTTCTCGAAAACTATTCAACCAGGAAGGCTTAAATTAAGTGGAATGTAAAATAATTCTTATTTTTCTTAAATGATAAACCAGCATGCAATATTTTAAAATGTTCGGTGCAGTAGTTTTTGAACAAAGTGTACCAAACTAGCACACTATGACAAAAAATTCGTCAAAGGTAAGTGAAATTAAACAAATGATTTTTAAATATACATTTAATTTATATTTTATGTGTTGTGTATAATCTACAATCTGTGTATTTTAAATTGAAAAATGAATCGAGTGTATATAATAAAAATAATCGAATGTACATTATTTAGAGAAAAGTTATACCTTAACAACTTTTTTTCTCGAAATAGTTGAATTTCGCCAGTCGAGATGTCGCATGTCCTCTGAAGAAGGAAATTTTGTTCACTCAATTTATTTGCAAACCAAGTTTAATTTATCGTTTTATTACTGGAGTTCTTATAAATGCTTTTCCAAAACTACCTTTCAGTATATTTTTGTTTAAAAAAAGACCTTTCTTGTTAACGCAAAATGTGTTTATTTATTAAAATTGTGAATCAACGGCTTGAATAATCGTCTTGAGCGAGGACAGAGCGTTTCACTCCTATGCAAACTTCTTAAATGCTATTAAAGTTTTGAAGATCCCAAGCTATTGCAAATTATACAGGAAATAAAATTCATGAATACTGACTCTACTTCGGTACCGAAGGACCCAGGTTCGATCCCGCTAGAGGCATGGATGAGAATACTCTAAATATGCGGCGAGCCAGAGTCCTCTCGAGATTGGTGGAATTGGTGTTGGGATTGGTCTTCTCGAGATTGGTGTTCTTCTCGAGAGATTGGTGTTGGGGGAAGAGGAATGGCAGACCTTCGGACCCGTCCCTCCGGGTGCTGTCCTTGAAAATTGGGGACAGAATTGAGCGAAGTCGTACTGTCACCTGTTGGTCCTCAAAGCTCAAGACCTGTTGCCAAAGACAGGCGCAATCTTCAATTCCTAGCCACGATGAGATTCGTGGGCGTGTTGTGATGCTACTGCCAAACAAGTGAGTCGCAGTCAACAAAGTCACAATATAACAACAACGAAATTAACTTGTGGAAGTTAAACAATCGAATATCATACCTAGAATCTTTAAAGTTAAGCAACATGTACTGTAGTCTAAATTTTAATATATTTTTGGTTAAAAAGTAAACTGAAGCCTTTCATAGGAAATACGGTCAAGAGCCCAATTATCTTTTTTTTCGCATTTGAAAGTGAAATTATTTTCTGCTATTGACGGTTATTTGTTCGTTTTTTAGCTGCCAAGATCTTGTCCAATATGGATGACACTGTTGACCCATGCGATGACTTCTACCAATTTGCCTGTGGTGGTTGGAGGGATAGACACAGTATTCCTGAGGATAAGTCGTACATTTCGGTCTTTGCGGAAACTCAGCTGGACTTGAACCTTAAACTCAAAGGCAAGTAGTCAATTAAGTTGCTAATGTATTCAATAAATTGAATCAGACAAAACTGTCAGATAATCTCTTATAAATTACCGAAACTTGATTTCATTCCATCAATTAAACTATAATTTAGAATTTAAAGAGAGAATTTCCAGTCTTCTAAACCAGTGTTTTACAAAGCGGAGGGTACGCGGTCCCTTTGGTCTCCCAGAGGGTATGCGAAGGGATCTTTGGGGGTACGCCATAGCAGGCTCACGATCACTTGCGTGTGTATGATCGCTTATGAAGGCGTGAGTGCGAGGTTCTCTCATTGGCTACTGTCTCTGGTTTCACTAGTGTCCTAGTGAGGAACTCAACATCATAGTTGCATCGGTTTTATAGCGCATGCATATTGCATCATGTTATTATTACTATTATTGTTGTTATTATTATTACATGTTATGGTATTGTATTATATTGCATAGAAGAACTCCAATTATTGGGACCGGACTGTATTCGGGTAATCAAAAATTCGGATATTTCGATTTTTCTCGAGGAAAGGGTCTACGTATTCGTTAATTAATTGATGTATGTACTCTATGTTGAAAATGGGAGAAAAAACTATTTTTAAAGAAAAAAGGTTTTAATTGATTAAAATAAAAAGGCAATATTTTTATGTACCTGCTATGTAGCTTACTGTACAGTACTTGCAAGGGCTGAAAGTCACTGATTACTGAATATCTTGGTCAAAGTAAGCTGTTTGACTGTCTTCATCCGTTTTTGGGCAGCCAAGACGCGTCCGCTCGACAATGAGAAGTTGCATGGGATCACACTCGGGCTGACGTTCCATCCACTTCAACGCAGTTTCATCGCCTGCAAACGCTTCACCAGCTGATGGTCCCGTGTCTGCATGAGCATTGACATTAAAACCATCTTCTTCGACACTTTCTTCCCTCATATTTTCGATAAGTTCATCGTCATTTAGAATTTGAAACCCAGGGTCTGACGAATCACACACACATTCTGTTGTGTCCTCAGCACCAACTTCTGAACATCCAGGAATTTTCAAAAGAATGCACAATTCCTCAAGTGACACGTCATCCTCATCTTCTCCTATCTCTTCCCTTTCATTTGAGCTTCTTTCTTATTTTTCTCCTTTTCCTTCTCTTCTTCAGTTGATTCTGAAAACTTTTGAAATTCTCTTTTGAAACCGATTCGGATAGTCGGAGTTCGGATAATTACAGTTGTACTGTATTACATTATATTATATAATAACACATTACATTATACTGTATTACATTACATTATAGCCTACCTATTCTATTCTATCTTATCCTATCCTATCCTGTCCTACTATATTATATTATATTATATACTTCAGCAGATACAGATAGTAACAAGTATAACGGATAATTACTTTCATCTTTCAAGGGTACGCGATCAAAAATGTTTGTAGATCGCTGTTCTAAACAATATGATTATTAAGGCACTGACATATTTGGGACAAAATTTTGGCCTAGAAATAGCTTTCACATGATTAACTGTTTCATAAGATTCCATGATTTCTCTATAAGAGTGAAATCAACAGACATAGCTAACCATTTTATCTGCTTAATGATAATATTTTCAAAAAAAAACGTCAGTGAGAGTTTCTTCGATTGGTCCTTGTTATCATTAATAAAAAAAATACCATACTCACATGAATTTCTAAGCAGCTGTACTTACGATTTTAAATCTACATCCTGATATTCTTTGAACAGACGCAAATGATTTGCTACACACGGGGCCAGTGGGAATAAATCTGTTTGTGGTTATTCTTGCTCATATTATCCCATATTTTCATACACCTGTGTAACAAGTTCTATTAACCAATACTTGTGATATCACTTTGCTCATTTATTTTTGATTGCGAGCATACGTGAGGTTAGAAAAAGATGTTAAGCTAAACCTTCACTTGTCATTAAAGAACACAGATATTGCAGGTTGAGATTTCGGTTTAATGTTTCATTACGAATATTTAAAGCTACTCACTTCATAAATTAATGCAAGTGCCGAAAGATATTTTTGGTTTAAGATTTTTGTCCTGCAAGCGAAAATCCTATTTCACTAGTTCCTTCATTAACCAAAAAAAAAAAAAAAAGTAGTAATTTAAATGTTTCGTAAAAGCAGCGTAAAGGGTTAAGTAAGTTTTCTGATTAAAAAAAAATAAATACGTTGAATGGAAAAAACATATACATATGGAAAAATGTAACATATATTCTTAAAGCTCCTAGCCCACCAGCGGCCGAGCGGTAAAGTCGCTGAACACTGGTAGTTCGGTCCGAGGTTCGAATCCCGCGAACGGGCTGGCTGCATGGGTGTTTTCGTGGTTTTCCCCATGTGTAACGTGTATACGAGCCAGTTCCCCTTAGAAAGTCCTCCACAAAGGCATCTCTCCCTTTAGGCAGATAGCCCTCGAGGCTTTGCCGTAATTAAGTAACCTAACCTAACCTAACCTAACCTTAAAGCTCCTATCAGCATTAAAGTATGCCTTGTTCTGCGATGACACTCTTTTGAAACTTCGAATTTGAAGTCAAAAGCCAGAATTTTTAGTGCGTCCATTCTTGCTTGATGCATAAGTTAAACGACAGCTCAAATTTTTATAAAAGTCATGATTATTACTTTTTATGACATTAAATGAAGCGACTAGAAGACAGTATAAATGTGTTTGTATTTGACTACATTATACAACGTAGGGTTAAGCCCTTCTGTGCATAATTATTTATTATTATTAATAGTAAGAAATTATTATTAGTAGTAAGAAATTATTATTAGTAGTAAGAAACTTATTTTAGTAGTAATTTATTGTTAGTAGTAAGAACTTATTATTATTAGTAAGAAAATTTATTCAAGATAATTATTTTATTAATTCAAGATAAAAATATAATATAGATTTATTTTATTAATTCAAGATAAAATATAATATAAAATTATTTTATTAATTCAAGATAAAAAACATAACATAGAATTATTTTATTAATTCAAAATAAAAATATAATATAGAATATTTTATTAATTCAAGATAAAATTGTAATATAGAATTATTTTATTAATTCAAGATAAAAATTCTAATTGCATAAACAACATTAATGCTTAGTCATTTAAGTGTGTGATATATTAGTTAAATTATTTCATTAAACCTTATTGTAAAAATAGAAGTGCAATGTCTCTCTGGCGTAGTTGAGTTTTAATAAAATTTTTGAAGTACTAAAAATTTTAAACTATCTCCTTCGTTTCCTGTTTTAAATCTTCTTTAATATTTCTTAGTTTGTAAAGTTATGTCTATCATCATCGATATCATATATAGCAGTGGAATGGGTGATGATTACATAAAGACTCATTAAAAATATGACTATGGAAATAATGTAATTTTAATTATATAAATACTATTTCCTTATTTTCAGGTCTATTAGAAAAAGAGTTGACTGATAATGAACCCGATTTCATTCAGAAGGTAAAAGCTATATATGACTCCTGTATGGATATAGGTTAGTTTCATTTGGAAAATTCCACGTTTAGTTAGACGTATATCATGACAAAAATTTTAGCAGCTGTAATAGTAAATTGGAAAACATATGATAAAACTCAAAATTAAATCTTTCTTAAGGAAAACTATTCTCCCAAATATATGCTTTTTATCTGACCATAACAATTTTGTTTTGCATTTAACTCATAAGATGAGTTGTTTTTATTGAATAAAATGCTGACCATCGAAAGTACAGAGAAGTTTCTTTATGATTCAAGGTTTTCTCCATGCAAATTCAGTGACCTATACCACTAACTCTAGTGTGATATTCTGCAATAATTATAAATTAAGGTATAAATGTGCAATATAGTAGGAGACAAATATTATCAATGGAACTCGCATTTCTTCGGAGATTTTTATTCTGTGCGTTGTAGAATAACAAAGTAACAAATTACTTTAAAAAAACTCAAAAGAATTCACATTCGATTTGTCATTTAAATCGGTCATTTAAAAGAAATCGGTCATTTAAAAGAAAGCCATAACTTAAATGAACTGCTACGGGATATGGAACGGATATATTGGTTCATTTTCTCAAAGAATTCGGAGAAAAAATTCTGAATTATTCACTAGGACACTTACATTCAATATAACGAATGGATTTGCGATGTTTCTGGGTGGTTAAAAATTTACCTACCTTTACCCGGATTAAGGAACTTCATTCTAGAATAAATTCCACTAACTGGAGTGTTAAAGTAAAAGATTTGATTTTAAAGCTCAGATGTCTGCTGTATGACTGTATTTTACATTTAGATGGACGGATTATTTTAAATATTACAATAGTATGTTAACCACGTGAAAGTAAACATTACTGTTCATTTCTCTTAACTCAGGAGTAAATGAAGTTAACAAATGCCTAAATACAGATGCAGTATGGCGTCACTGCACGGTTGCTAATTTGAAGCTTTTTATGCACATATGTGAATTTGAGAAAGAGAAATGGGTCGCCGGAGTTTGAACAGACATTGAACAATCAATCTAATCAGAAGTACTTGCTCGTCAATAAGAGGTACGCTGATTAGTTCGTCATATATTACAAGCAATCAGTAGGGGCAAAGAGGACATCTGTCCCTGGGAGTAGCATCCAAGGGGCGCCAAACTGACGCTACGAAATTTTTAAATGAAATATTTTCCATTCTTGGCACACAAATTCTTTACTTGTCCCCGGGCGGGGGAAACTCTAGCTACGCCCCTTCAAGCAATGGGTCCAGTACAATCGTATATTACAAGCAATGTGTCATATATCACAAGAAATGTGTCGTATATTACAAGCAATGTGTCACATATTACAATAAATGTGTCGTATATTACAAGCAATGTGTCCAATGCATACAATCGTAGAAAGTGCCGCATGCACTTAACCCACAGAAGTAGAAGGCTTTGCACGCAATGCATTCTAGTGAATCTGATGATGACGGGCTTGATAGGTTGAACCTTCAGGCTACTGAAGAAGTCTCTGGGCAAATTGTGGGCTACACTGTTTGGATGTAATCAAGCAGTTGTGTTCATTTAATGGCCTTTTCGTATTGCTTAGATAATAGACGAATTTATCCTACTACGTTTTAACAATATTTCTAGCCTGAACCATTCTTCAAAGCTTTTCCGAGAGTTAGAGCTTCAGGATATATGTTTCTGAATAAGTCCAGCCTTTAATATTCAGATCATTCTCGAAGACATAATATCCTCATTTCACTGAGTCAATTTATAGTTAGAGAAGATTTACTAGGAAAAAAAAAACATCAATCATTCTATCAAAGCCGTATTTATGAAATTTTCGCACAATAAGTATTGCATTGGATGAAATTGCTTTCTTTATGGCGACTTTGTGGGAAAATCTATTAGCTTCTTAGGGAATACAGAATGCGTTAAAGTTCGAAAAGGATATTTCCTAATAATAATGTCATAAACGAGTTGTTCCGCTCCTTCTTACTAGTCCTTATAATAATATTCTTACGCTTCTAATGTTATAAGATATTAAAATGCTTAATTGTTGTTAGCTAGTTATATATGGAAAGTCATAAGGAATTTTAACCCCAACAATATGTAATAAGCTTGAATCAGTTAATTTGAAACGCCTCTTATAAGAAAGAAAAATCTGCCATTCTTGGTACATAATGCATATGTTTCTTTCATGTAATGTTCTAATTTATTAAAAATGTATAAATGTTAACATATAATAAATCATTCAAAAGAGAAAAAAGGATTGAAAAGTTTGCGCAAAAGATGCTAAATATAAAAGGGACTTTATGTCAATACAAGACAAAACGTATATGAATAATGAAGTTCAAATTATTATTCCAATTTAGCATTTTTCGTTCTATGCTTATTTAATATTTTAAATGTATAGAAAGCATTGAGAAATTGGGCAGCCAGCCACTGAAAAGGCTTCTGAAAGATCTTGGGGGTTGGCCGGTGGTGGAAGGAGATAATTGGAATGAGAGTTCTTTTGATTGGATTCAAGCGCTTATTCAGATCCGCAGAAATGGCTACAATCAAGATATTTTGATGGATTTGTCTGTTTCGGAGAACGTAAAAAATAACACGGTTCACACCATAACGGTAAGTCAACATGCATTATAAATTTTTGTATACTTGGTAAAATTTCATATCACTTTGTTCGAATTATTATTCTAATTATATTCACGGCCTTGCTAAATATATAATGCATTCAAAAGGCATTATACATTTAACTTAATTTAATTAAAAATTAGGAAATAAATTAATATTTTCTCAACTCTTTTCATTTAATAAAAGGAATAAAATGAAAGAATATTTTAATGGGAATTACGTATAACAATGAACCGAAATTTAAAATTTATTTGAATGAAATCTCTCAGATGCAATACGTGTATTTTAAAGCAGCTCTTTATTTAGTTACGTTAAACATAATCATACACATGTCAAAAATATAAGAATTACAGTATGATTAACACATATTATTATATACGTTATAGTTTTCCACTGGGTACCAGCTGTTCTACATCCACTTCTTTCCCCTTAAAATAGTTTATTTTCCTCAAGAACTTCCGTAATCCTTAAGCTTTTAAGTTTACCTCTAGATGTATAATGAAGACTTTATTGCCAATAATAATAACAATGAAACAGAAAAACAAGACATATGTCTTAAATGCTTTTAACTAAATGAAACTAATACTAAAGGAGCAAAAGGGGATTATTTAAAATTGCAAATTTGAACGCCTATTGAAAAGTCACAGACTGTAATGTCGCACTGAAATGAAATTGTTTTTTTAAGTAAACAAAATATACATAAGGACTATTTGTCAAAAGTTGGTAGATGGTTCTGAAGTAAATTTTCTTAGCAAATTAACTTCATATTTACCATAAACTTGAGAAAATAAGAAAGGAATAGGAAATTAGCGCAATTAGGCGAAGTAAAAAGCAACTGTCGTCCAGACGATATAGTGGTTAATGGAGCCTATTAAGGCAGCGAAGGGCTCTGGTTTGAATCCTGGAGAGGACATGCATGCTTGTAAATGTATAGTGTCGGTGCGGAATGGCGGTACCCTAAAGATGCGGCGAGCAGAAAGTCCTCTCGTGTGGATTGGTGGAAGGGGAGAGGGGTGGAAGACCCCGGATCTCCCCGCCCCGGGGTTCTCGCCCTCAACATTGGTGGAAAATAAAAGTGCAACCTCTCTGGAGTAGGTTCTGGCAACTATTGTGTCATGTAATATGGACAAGAAAACATCAAGAAAAGGCAACTGGGCAGCGTATTTAAGCCAAAAATAAACTGAGACGACTCGTAGTTATCGCCTTCAGTCACTCACGTTTTCACTGGTTTGCAGTGACGAATATTTTTAGGCAATTAATATTAAAGGAACAATTTCAATTGCTTATTAAAATGCTTCATAAAATGCGCATTTTGCGACCCTTTGACTGTAGAAGTCCTCAGCGACGGATACTTATACTCGTATATGGCCTCATAGCGGCCAATAACATAAACTGAATTGTGGCTCAATCATAGAAAGGCCATTTTCGGTACGATTTTATTAGCCATTCCCTTAAATTTAGGTTGCCGTAAAACAGACGTGAATGGAACAATACTCGACTTCTGTACCTACTCCGAGAAGCCGCTGGCATAGAAATAGAGAAATCATACTCAGATAGTTCCCCATCACCGCCGATGCCAGTCCTGTATCCCTCTGACAATCTTGTTTTTGTTAGACATTTTTCTTCTTTTTTCGAGTTATCTTGCTATCAGGATCTTTGGAACCCATGGGAATCTGAAAACTTTAAAGAACGAATCATGCGCGCCAGATTTCCCCAATGATCTGTAATTAAATTGTATATTCATTAGGTTATTTTGAACTAGGATACATGAAAAATGAGCAGTGCCCTCTCGGGACTCCAACCAGGACCTCTCAAATACGCCTCGAATGTGCTAATCGTTAGACCACGAAGGCATACAGAAAGGAACGACGAAATGCCTTATATACTCCCACTTTTCACGGGCGACTTGGGATTAGGGGACCTAATCACCAAATCTTGGTGGTGAAGAATCATCATTCAACACCTTTTAGTTCGAAAGCCACTGTAGATTTATTAGGTTATATCCGAAGCAGAAGACGTAAAAAATAATCAATGCCCCACTGGGACTCGAACCTTGGACCTTTTGATTAAGCCCTGAGTTTGCTAAGCGTTACACAACGAAGGCATGCAGAAGGGAAGGAGGAAATACCTTATAATGTACTGAATAATTCTAAAGATATAAATTAGAAAATATCATTTTAGATTGTGGGTGTAAACTGTAATAATCATTGTTAGATGGATATACATCTTGATAAATCATTTGTTAAAGTTAATAATTTCATTTGGCTATCAAATGTGAATGTAGAAAAGACATTTTATAAAAGTATTTGTTACTATCGCATATTTCACGTAAGTGATTAAATATTCCCACTAAGGAAAGTAAAACTGAAAAAAATGTTGAAACGTTTCTTTCTTTATTCTTTCTTCTTTTTTTTCCCTTTCTCTCTTCAAACTGATAAAAAATACTTTATATTTTTTTTTCAAGTTGGGCCGTGCAGAATTCGGGATAGAGCGTGAATATTTGGTGAAAGGATTAGATGATCCCGCCACAGCCGCTTTCCTCGAAATGATGGTGAAAGCAGCAAATAAATTAGGTGCAAATAAAAGTATCTCAGAAAATGAACTTAAAGAAGCATTCGATTTCGAAGTCATGCTTGCCAGCGTAAGTATAGAAGACTTTCAGTTTCTTTTTAATATATTTTTATTTCGTGGTTACAGAAATTGCTCACTATATTATACATCATTTACTGTTAACCGTTCTATACAAATATATAGTTCTCCCAATTCTTTCATGTGAACAGAAATTTTAGGACACCTAACTATATCTAACTAAAATTATACATTCAGCTATGTTTAATGTAAGTTGAATTTCAAGCGAATTTTTTTAAATCTCCCTACACTGTATTAACATGACACAATTTTTTAACGTACTCTCAAAATTTCAACTGATAATAGAATTAAAGTTAAATATTTATTAACTATATATTATATTAGTTATAATACCAGAGTATTAGATTTAAAGAATTATGATATGATTTCAAGCACATTGTAGCTTTAAAAGTTCTTTTGATATTAATATACATGAACTTTTGCTTCAGTTACTCAAAATTCAGTAAAATGGAACATGATCAGGACTATACTTTCTTTATGTTTTTATATATAAGTTTATTTATTCAAATATATGATTAAATATTACCGTAATTTCCGGAAGAAACGCCGCGGCGTTTACGTGTTTAAAACTTAAATTTTCAGCGGATGCGGCGTTTCTACCCATGCGGCGTTTAGGTGCACTGAAAATAAAATATTTCCTATGATGGTCATTGTACATAGTTTGGATGGCCTTGTCATTGTGCATAGACTGGTGCTGTTCCCACACAAAAGACCACTCAGTTGCTTTTTGCGAACGTTATTTTGTTTACATTCTTTCCCTTGAACGGACCTACATGCCTTATTCACCCTAAACGAGATCTCAGAACAATAACATTCTTCCCTCTTTCAAATCAACATTCTCATCAGTTTGAATAGTCTCTCTCCTCTGTGATTCCATGAATCTTCCAGGACCCATCCTCTCCCCCCCTGCCTTTTCTGCAATTTTTTTCAAAGGCGGACACGACTCCACCTGCCTCGCAATAACGAACTCTGACGTATTTTCCCTTCAGCATGAATGGATTTTTCTTGGCATTCTGCCAAATACAGATCCCATCAGTTTGGGTACAAGTACTTGTTGAATAGTTTTTAAGTAAGAAGGGAACGGAAAATTTTTGAAAATGTCTCTAAACGGCACAGAAGCTATACATTTCTTACCTTTAATTTATTTTTGAGTTATGGTTTCATTTCATGCATTTTTCTTAACTGGTATGTCATATATCAGGACTTAGGTTGAGTTTTTGCATCTATACGGCCCACGACGATGTCACGCGCAATTTAATCTATTGCGGCGTTTACGCTGATGCGGCGTTTCTGTGTAATTTTTCTCGAGTGCGGCCATTTTTCTTTCCCGCCATTTTTCTCGAGTGCGGCGTTTACGCTGATGCGGCCTTTCTTCCGGAAATTACGGTAGTTTCATTCAATCAGAATTCACGAAATTAAGACGAGGCCTGAGTATGCTAGAGATCTCTTATGTTTTTCATGTGTCAGATGACAAATTAATCTACATATTCACAATGAACTGTTGATGTTTCAGATACGCAAATTGTATCATATTATACTCAAATTGAATCGTATGTATCAACGCAAATTGTATCATAGCTAGGATACGCAAACTGTATCATATTATAGAGTCTGACTTACTTTGACTAGTATTCAAACCCTTAACAGAAGTAGAGCGTGTCTGAAGTGGACGACAGAGATTTGAGAAGGTTAAAATAACCTTTTTTATTTAATCAGAACTTTAACATAAAGCGTTCTTCTCGGGCTTAACAAAATAATCACCACTTCTGGCGATGGAACTAAAGTAACAGTCAACTTTAAATTAAAATGTAGGCTAGTAGTCAAATACTACGCAAATTATTTAAATCGAAGCTGGCTGACAACTCTAACCGGCGTACAAACGCAACTGTAATTCAAAGGCGAATAACTACAATCTTATCAGAGCTAGCGACACCTGGTAAACCTGCCCTCGAGATACGGAAACACTCTCTGTCTTACAATCCAAAAACTTCAATGTAAATACTCTTCTAACCGATTTACATTTCTGGTGAGAAAACGAAACGGAGAAGTTATAGTAAAGGCTGAGATCATAAACAACTGGTCAATGCAATATAATAGTAACCGTACAATAGAACCCAATTTTGTTAGAATATCACCCATTTAGTACGTCGTTCCATTTACTTGATCTGAATTTGGTTTTATTTTATTTTACTTGTCTACTTTGTCCCAATCAGCTAATATTTACATTCTACAAAAGATGTACTGGTTATTGAGTCCCTTATGAGATGGTGATTTTATCTATCAGATCACATTTAAACTTGCGGTGCGAACAAAATTATTCAACGGAAAATTTATTCCTGAAAACTGACGTTTCCTTCTAGGCTCAACACACGATGTCTACGAGCATTAAATCCTAATATTACAGCTGAAGTAACGAAGATTTTATAACCGTTTGTTTTGTTTTTTCAAGTATAACCAGACTTTTAATTAAGCGATTTAATGAGTTCGAAAAATAAAGTATTTGGTAATATTTTAGAGATTATCTGTATCTTCTAATCCTAAGTTATCTGCATCTTCTATTCCACATTACATGCATATGTATTGTAATAAAAAAGTAAAAACGACAACTCCTTTAGATTTTAGAAAAACGAAAATTTATCAGTGAATGTCGTCGAAAAATTCCAATCGATGTTAACGATAGGAATTTATAAATTAATTAGGAAATTAACATCACAGATATATACATATATATATACCTTAAATTTATCTTTGTAAATCAATCAAAGCAATTTTAGGACTTTAGCGCTTTCGTTTGTTTATGTATGATTCGGTACAAATTTGTGTTTTATATGGTATTTAATTTTACACTTGTTTTACTAAAAATTTGCATTTATGTGATTTATTGTTTATCCTACAGTTCACTTATCCATTGGAAAAAAGCAAGAATACGAGTATTGCGGATAACAGTACTGTTAAGTACCTTTTTAAGTTGCTTATTTATGAGTAAATAATACGATAATTAATTTTATATTGATTCATTTTCTTGACCTCTCCCGCAGTTTTCATTGCCATCGAATGAAACATTTGATACAAATAATGGGAACAGTAGCACCGTTCTATATACCATTCCGGATCTTATGGATGAGATGCCAGAGGTAAAGTTATTCCTATATAAAACAATTTAGTTAGTTTAAATTCGAAATTTCAATGAAAACTAAAAATCAACGTAGATATGTATTTGTTTTAAGCATGTAGGTATAACGCTTTCTGTTCCTTCCTTTGACTCTTCAGAAATGTTTCCACAATGACATACAAAGCTCTACATTACCTTATTCTATGGTTGGTTCAAGTTAGAAAGAAAACAAATCAAGATAAGCAAAAATTCGGAAAAGAAGGGAAATGCTTGAAACAAAAAGACAGAGTAATGATAGAAAGACGACAGAAAACCCTTAGACATGCAGCCGAAACCATATGCAGATGTTGTCCAAAGACTTGCATACAATATTTTGTACTTTGAATTAAAAGAACTTAATAAACATTACGATTGCGGATCTTTTATGTTTAGATGGATGGTATGAATATGATTGGCTACCTTGTTAAGCTTGCATACATAGAATGATTTGCTTTCGCATATGGAAACGTCTGAGTTTGATTTATTCTTTTATGGCAAAGCACATTAGGGATATCTGCCTAAAAGATGAGATGTCTTCCTGGAGACCTTTCTAAGAGAAACCGACTCGTATCCACGTTAAACAACGGAAAAGCTACGAAAATGCCGGTATGCATTTTCGTATTGCGTTTTTGTTATGCATTTTCCTAGCACGTTTGCCTGGAATTGGACTCATGTCGACTACCAGGGTTCAGAGATTTTATTACTTGGTTTCTGGTGAACCCATACAATTCTGGGTTGGGTAGGTTAATAAAACTCGAATTTGGATCAGATAACATGTGGGACCATCGTCATGCGTAAGCGTGCAGAGAAGAGGTGAAATGAAAAAGCAGCATAAGCAAAGAACATTGTTTTATTCACCAAATTGATTGGACATAGCATTAAACTGCTAAAAGGTATATGTTATTTGTATATTGTACTTCAGAATAATCATTTTCATTTTGATAGAGAAAAGGAGTTCAATATAATGTACTTAAAAGCGATGACAGTTTTCTGTTTGTCAGAAAACTAGAATGTCATGGAACCAGAGAAGAAGATAAAGAGCCTAATTCAGCCACCTAGTTTCCTTAATTTCATTTACCGTCTAAGCATACCAGAATATGTGAAGATTTTAACAAACTAATTTCTGCTTTCAAATGGGTATTTTCAAATAAACTTTATTCTAATTCAAAATTTATGAAATATCGAAATTTTTTTGTACATAATATATTTAATTATGATTAATAAGGGGCACAGCAAATTCAAACCAGGAAATTTATCAGATAGTACTTTTTGAAGCTAATTTTCATTCATTTAGAAGTTAATTTAAGTCGCTTAAGGTGGGTGTAAATAGACACTTCAGCATTTTGCTTTAGTAGCATCAGTGCTCACAGAAATGCTCTGTGTTATGGATGTTGATTTTATTTGACAGATTTTTATTTATTCTTGAGTACATACTGCATGTCACATTTTCCTTTTGATAATTTAACAAGAGTAGTCCAAAATTTTAAAGGTCCGCTGGCGCAGTGGCTAGCGCGTCGCGCAGCAGCACTGCAGGTCCTCGGTTCGCTCCCCGAGATGGGCAAGGTTGACTCAGTCTTTCATCCCTTCAGAGGTTCGATAAAATGAGTACCAAGTTCGGTTCGGGACTAAATACCGGGGGTCCTGCGGCAAGTTGACCACTTGTCCAGGCAAAATACTCATGCAGCCCGGAACCCACGGTCTGGAAAGCAGATATCAGGTCACTACCTAAGGCCTGTTTGTGTCCCTGAGTTTAGTTTAGTCCTAAACTTTAGTCTCCCTGACTGCGTCTCAGTTCTTCATAATTATGGAAGAAATTAAACTGAATATGTTCGTGAAGCTAGAATACGCATCTATTTACAAAATTATTGCCGTTTGAAATGCCAGCATACTAAGCAATATGTTTCTTTACATTTGTAAGTTAATGCATTCACAGGAATTGGCTTCAAATCCCTCGGTCATTTTAGCCTCTCATTATCGAGAGAGTTATCCAGAGTGCACCACTTAGAAAAAAAAAGAATTACTCTTGTGAGAAAGAGAACCTCCGTCCCACGTATAATAATTATTTTAAATGATTGGACAGAAATAGTTTGATACGTGTTCGAATCTTGGAGAAGGGGCTAGCTGCGAAGTTTTTTTTTTTCGTGGATTTCACTACACTGTAAAAAAAATTCTGTAACGTTACTAAAAAAACTCATGGAAACTGGGATGCCATGAATTATTTAAGTAATAGAAACATGTTTTTTCTTAGTAACAATACAAGAATTATACCTGTAGTGATTACAGATATTTTATTTGTAAAGTTACTAAGAAACGTTATGTGTGTAGAACAGATGAATTGCATGTAACAAAACAAAACATACACCTGTAACGATTAAAGGTATTTTGCATGTAATAGTACTCGAATTATTTATGTATTAATAACAGATTATTCTTAAGTAAAACAACAAAGTATATGTCTGTAAAGGTTACAGGCATTTTAGTTGTAATGGTACTGCAGTTATTTATGTATGTAGAACTTAGTTATCGTATGTGCGTTACCGAAAGATAAATCTGTAATAGTTACAGATACTTTGTTTGTAATACTACTACAAATAATCATGTATTCAAAACGCATTTTTCTTATGTGAAATACCAAGGAATCATTTGTAAAAGTTACGCAAGTTGTGCTTGTAATGTTACTGCAAGTAGTTATGTATCTTAATCATATTTATCGTATGTGAATTACCAAAAGATAAATTTGTAGCAGTTACAGATATTTTGTTTGTAATACTACTACAAATAATCATGTATCTAAAACGCATTTTTTTATGTGAAATACCAATGAATTATTTGTAAAAGTTACAGATGTTGCGCTTGGAATGTTACTGTAAGTAATTATGCATTTTGAGCGTATTTATAATATGTTAAATAACAGAGAATCTGTGTGTAATGTTTATAGACATTTTCCTTGTGATGTTTACTTGCAAATAATGTTTGTATGTAAAACATATCTGCTTCATGTGATGGATAAAATGATACATCAGTAAAGATTACATATCTTTTGACTGTAGCATTACTGATTGTATTAAAGCTTGAAGCTTTCACAATTTATCAAAATTCAACTTCAGATTTTCAGTAATGTGAAAGAAATGCTGCATGTGTTTAGAAAGCAGGTCTTTCTTATTCAAAGAACAGGAATATACTTTGATGCTACGCAATATTTCAGCTCAACCTATATTAAATGCCCTCGAAAGATATAAAGCACTTCTTTCGAATTAACGCCAGTCTGATGTTAATATTTTAAAATCCTTCTTTTACACTTATATTTCTTTTCATTACTTAATTTTAAAGTAAAGAATACCTGAAAATTGCTGAAGAAAAAATCGTAGCTAAGGAGCATTTATGTGTTATTCTTAAAATTTTAGTTACAAGAAATGGAAAGTAATATAGACTTTTCTTTTTGATCAGTAAATTGAGAAAGGTGGACATTACTTTTAGGTGAACTATATTTCGTAACTATGATGCAGCTAAATATAATTACTTATCTTAAATAAGAAAATGACTGGAATTTTTCTGTGCATTAATTATTTTCAAAATTTGACTTTTAAATTTTGAAACTTCGATTTTTCAAAATTTAACTAATAAAATTTTGTTATTTTACTAAAAAGTTCTGTTATTTATTATGTATCAGCTAAAATATTCAGAAGTCTTAAAAAGCAAAAAACAATGTTCATTTATATCTTATGGAAGAAGTGAAATTTTGCTTGAACATTGTAGGTAATTAACAAGTTCAGCAAGGTAATATCTATGTGAATGAAAATTAGTTTATTTTGTTCAGTACGAAATAAACCTATGGGTTTTCATGCGTATATTTCGATTTAATCTTTGACAGTCAGTCATATCCCGGAAAACGTTTTCAGCTGGAAGATAAATGTTAAATGTAAGGCCAGTAAAAGTTCAATTTTCTAATAACTTAGTAAATTAGAAGTTGATGAATTAGTATTGTATATTTCACAGAATTATAAAGAATATAAAAGCAATCTGCAATTATTATTCCTTCATCATAATCTTCATAAGGAAATTTACTATGCATAACTAACTATTATTTAAATGCTGAATTCTAAATGTTTCTTATTAACAATTTCCCTACACATTTTGATATCCCTTGTCCAGTTCTTACATGTTTTAAACTGCATGAAACTTTTAACTGAGATATGTGAGTGTTTAACTAATATTATTGATAAAATAAATAATTATATTTGCCTTATATTAAGCCTCCCTTCCCAAAACATTTTTAAAACATTTTTCATGCAGGTTTCATCATCAAATCTTCATAAGAAAATTTACTATGCATAACTAACTATTATTTAAATGCTGAATTCTAAATGTTTCTTATTAACAATTTCCTTACACATTTTGATATCCCTTGTTCTTGGGAAATTGTTAATAAGAAACATTTAGAATTCAGCATTTAAATAATAGTTAGTTATGCATAGTAAATTTCCTTATGAAGATTATGATGAAACCTGCAAGAAAAATGTCATTTTTAATTAAAAAGCAAACTATTTTCAAACTTAAAATTTATTTGTTTTTACAAATTGACACGATTTCTTTAGAAGCATAACGTTCTACGTATAAAACTCAATTTTCTGTCCTCCCACAAAAAAACGCGCTAGTTATTTTAGAACTTGGTACTATTTTTCTATTTTCTACATAGAGAAATTTTCTACTTACCAAACTTAAACACACTTTCTTGAATCAAAAGCAATCGTTCCTCTATCCACAGATTTGACTAGTATCAATTATACTCCACTGTGCATCAATGTGCTAAATCTTGTTAATCGTGTTAAAAAATTAGTATTTTAAGTGCCAAAATTGTTAAAAGGTTTTGAATATTTTTTGCCACACCATCCAGTTGTTCTGGAAAATGTTCATGTTCATTAAAAATCTTTCCATTTTTTAAAAAATAATTAAAAATGAAATTTTTGTTATCCATGAGTAAAAAGTAAAAACATCTGTTAGATTTCTAAGAGATGATTCTGGTAAAAACTCATTACGTAGTTGAAACCTAGTTGTGAAAGTACGATTTTCATTTTCAACGAGCATATTCGCAGGGGGTTATTTCGGATAATGTTTCATAATTACATTAAGTGTCTGAAACAACTTGTACTGGAAGATGAATACTCAAATAAAAAAAATTGTATAAATGCAGTTAATCTATAAAAATAAGTAATCTGTTTAGTACATATCTCTAGTGAACAAACTGTATTTAGTTTTCATTACAATTTTTACTGACATTATTCACAAACAAATTAGTAAAAACAGCATATATATTGTGTGTATGAAAACTTAATTTTCATCACAACTACATTATTTATTCAAATAATATGAAAAATAGTGTACATTGCGTATGCAATTTTTAATTTTCAGGTGGCAAAATCAACGAAGAAAAGGTGGACCTTTTTACCTGTTTCAGTTTAATCCTTTTTCATTTTTTAAAATAAAAATCTGCAATTTAGTGCACATTCATAAAATGACTGAAGTTAAACGATGAGCAAACGTAAATAAAATGAAAAGTTAATGAACCATATGTGGGGTAAGAAATATCTTCTAGTAACTGCAATAATATTAAAAATATTCATAAAAATAATAAGTTGAATACACCATAATATATTTAAAATTATATCAAAAAAGAGATTATTTCTGTCAAAATGTTAATTTTTAATTAAAAAGCATAGATGACTTTAAAGCATACATAAATTTATTAACAGCATCTATTAGATTTACAAATATTTATTTGTTTAATTTCATTTCAGTTATAATTTTCCTTACAACTGGTGGGATTTTAACAGAAGAAGAAATTTCTGCTGCTAATCCTACTTGCAGGAATAGCATTGACTTAACACCACATTCGTGATATTCCATATCACATGCATAATATGTCATTATTAAGTTGATAACTGCATCAATGAATTCCAAATTCTGCATCAGTAAGTCTCTTTCACATGAGATCGCCCAACGCCCAGCCATCTCTATGAGCACTGGGTGTGGAGGCAATGGTTCAGTTGCAGCTTCACTGGCATTCATCTGAGGGTTAAGTTCATCCTAAAAAAAATAATTTTATATTGTAATGCGTATATCTTAAACGCTACTTAAAAGTCACTCAGGAGTTTTCGGTTTCTTGACTATTTTTAATAACTCCTAAACAACGTGATTTAAATCTTCTTCTAGAAAAAAGGTATAGATGGTAAATCAATTACAACAGACTTTCTTTAAGTATTAAAGTAGACTCTCTCTTAACATACCTAATAAAGAATAAAAGTATAACAGTAGTTTTGAAAATTACAAAAGGCCCAAGTGTTATTTTTTAATTTATTAGTTATTATTATAATTAGAATTATGTTTGACAACATAACTCAAAAGCGTGAGGAAAAAATATTTTATTTAAATCATTAAGTTAAAAAGATTAAAGATCAGGAACAAGGTAAATTTTAATAAAAAAATTATTAAAAATTACTAAATATGAAATTTGGGATACCGATTTTTCTTTTTCTTTTGGCTAATTTAATGCACCAATCATTAAGCTACAGCGAATGCAAAAACGTAAAATCAGATAAAATTGCTACCAAAGGCTTTAATATCAAAGATTTAATCAGCAATAAGCATACTGAAGCGCATTTCAAAATCATGTGTTTGCTATATTAAGTTTCATTAAATCTAACCAAAATAATACTTAAATTTTTAGAATTAGAATTTTCTCTAAACTGTGTTCTAAGGTAGAATAAATCTTTTTGTATTATTATTCTAAGAATTATGCTACGAAAAATCTACAGTTAGATTTTTAGATTTATGCAATTCTGTTTCTACATGAATGGTAGAATAATATTTTTTTTTTCTGCTATTAGAAACATAATTGCTATTCTATCTGTGAATAAAAATATGATTACTTTCCACAGCTTTTCGAAATGCTTAATATTATTTTATTGTATCATCGAAACTTCTTACTAATTTTGTGAAAGAAATTTGAACGCTAATACAAAATAAATAAGTAAAGAAATAGTCTGGGGAATTTTTATAATATAAATTTTATGAACTGATGGAGTTACCCACTTAAGCTAATGTTTCAAATCGCTGAGCATGTGACAAATCTTCTTGATGACCGACTGAAATATAAAAATTTATTAACATTACCATGTAAAATCAACTATTACCTCTGTAACAAAGAAAGACCATTTTTCGTGGAAAAATTTTGGAATAAACTTCAGTGCAGTTTCTGCAGTTATATTTCGTGTTTTCATTCTTCTTTGTACAATTTCTAAGAAACCTCGGTTGCAAAGATTACTTTTAACTTTTGGTTCGATATCAAAGCCAATCAGACGAATCATCTCTCTAGTCAGCTAAAAGGAGAATAAAAACTGGTATTTAATATTAAAATTTTCTGTACAGGCATACTAAACATTTTCGAAACAAGTACTTGGTAATTCTAGGAAAGCAAGTTACATGGGAGAAAAGGTAAAAATCGTTTAATTTAGAGTATGTTGTAGAGTTGTATGTTGTAGAGTATGTACATTTAAAAACTCAGCATATCTGTAATACATGAGATTTAGAAGATATATGCCGCCCAACCGGTATAGTGGTTAGCGTCGCTGACTGCCATATACCGGTATAGTGGTTAGCGTCGCTGACTGCCATATACCGGTATAGTGGTTAGCGTCGCTGACTGCCATATACCGGTATAGTGGTTAGCGTCGCTGACTGCCGTGCCGAAGGGCCCGCGTTCGAATCCCGGAGAAAGCATGGATGTTTGTAAATGTATAGCTTCGGTGCGACATGGCGGCACTCTAAATATGCGGCGAGCCGAAAGACCTCTCGTGTGGTTTGGTGGAAGGAGAAAGGGGCTGGAAATCCCTGTCCTACCGGATGCTCTCCATCAAAATTGGGGGAGGAACTGAGCTAAACGACACTGTCACCTGAATGGTGCTCAAGGATTTTGCCAACGGCAGGCGTAGTCTAGAGCTCCTTGCCACGAGGAATTTCTTGGGCTTGGGCTGACTACGTCAGACAAGTGAGCATAAGTAACAGCAACTACACCAGAAGGGACACACATACATATATATACATATATACAATTGATACAATATAGGGACATATATTTTTTACGTAATTTAATGCTTCGGAAAAGTTTTATGTAAATCAGGCACTTGAGTGTTGTATGTACAGTTTTTGTGCCTTGTCTTTCCTGGTTTATTTTTTCCAGTATCCCAAGTAACTGCTTATTATAAAAGCTTATAAAGCTTTTTTTTATTAGTAGTTTAATTATTTATAAAATATAAATAATCAAAACAGACTTAATAACTCCCTAACTCTATGTTATAACAATAAATTATTGTATTTTATAGCAAGCTATGAAACATATCATACATTTTTAACAATGTTCGGTGAAAAAAATAAAAACACGTTTAGTTTTTTATAATTCATTAGCATTCAAAAAAAAAATAAGTTTCTCAGTACATATGAATCAATAAGAGTATTTAAAATAATAGTTTTTCAAGAACTTAAAAAACTTGATCTGGTGTAAATAATGCTGGCCACTGTTCTTTTATCTCACTCATTTTAATTCTGGATATTATCTGTTGTCTTCTGAAAGAAAAAGTAACTTCCATTTTTTGATTTATAAATATCCTGTTGAAGTCCTTTTTCATCCATTCTCTGTTCATTTGCTCCTGATGTTGTTGCAGAGTGGATTCATTTTCGCCATCAGGAAAGTCTGGAGCATAATTAACTTCCCCGCGTCTCGCTTTCTTAATACCACCATTTTGCAACGGGGATTTATTGGCGTTGAGATCTAATTGCAAAGTGATGCTTCTTGATCGTTTGCCTAAAAGTTAAGTTGCCTAAACTTATTAAAAATACAATACCAAATCGTCTTGCTTGATGATTCAAAGTTAATTTTAAAAAAACATTTGGAAAACAATAAGATCAAAATATGGACTATTTATATTTAAAAGAGGATTAAAGACACTTTTTGGGGGGCGCGAGAAATCAATAATTTAGATGTAATGCGGTACACATTTTTTTTTCAAAAAAATATTTGAAATCTGTATGGAAAACCATCTAAGTTTCAATTAAGGTTTTAAATTTAATGTTATATTTATTCTTTTCTAATAAAATTAGGCTTTTCTTAATTCTTTGTTTCTAAAACTAGTTACAGTTTCATAAAGGTAGTTTTATAATTTTTTGTAATAAAAGTGTTTTTAGAAAAAACTTTGAAATATAAAAATTAGCGGTTTTTAACAATAAAACATTTAGGCATAAATATCCACGCATTAGGACAGTAATAAATAGATTAAAACGGCTGTTTAAAGTTTTTCTTACAATTTATCGCAATTCAAACATTTTCCAAGCTTAAAATGTTAAAAAAATTGTTATTAAATTACTTACCAGAATTAATTGATGTTTCATTACATTTACATTTCCTTCTGATCTCCTGCATGCGGTACTTGAGTGCTATTTTCCAGCAGGAAATGCCATCACCTACTATGGGATCTTGTAAGGATGGGAAATTTTTAATGAGTTTTTTAGTAATATCTGCGTACATTTCATCTGTTGGATACAGACTGTAATCAGACAGTTCTTTAGATAATATGTCCATTATTTTTCACATTTGAGTTGTGCAGTTTTAAAGAACTATTATATTCAGTCTCTGCTTGTTGCAATTCTTTTCGTGAAATGACAGAAAAAGAGTCTTTTGAAATTTCAAAATCAAGTCCATTTCTCCAGGGCTTTTTTCTTAAATTATTTTTGTTGAGGATGCTCATCTCAATATGACTAATAATATTGGTAGATGGCTCTGGAGATGAATTACTTTTAGAAGCTACATCATCCAAATCTAATACTTTTATGCGACAAAAGTTTTCAATCTCTTCTATATGTTCCAAGTCACAAAATGCAAAAGTGCAAATGCATTATATACATGTTCATTATATTGGCACCAAAAATATGGCTCATCCACAATCCATATACTCTGTACTTCAACAAATGCTTTATGCTCTTTTGAAATCAGAACATGGTTTTTCTTGCAGTTCATACTTCTTGCAGTTCATACTTCTTGCAGTTCAGTTTCTTGCAGTTCATCTTGATATTTTTACACTGTGTATAGAAACTTTGTTTCGTATTTATATGATCTAAATTATTTAATAGTTGTGCTTTAATTAAAGATCTATGGATTGGAGTTGTATTACCAGTAACTACTTCTGGATTGAAAAACTTTTGTCCGGATAAGTGGTATGCTGACAAAAGACTAATTTTTTCAGCTGCTGTTTTCAGAGGATTTTTGAAATTTCCTCCTGATTTCAATATAGACTTAAGGTAACAGTGTTTTCCTTCAAATCTCATGCACCAATAATTAACTGGTGGGCCAAAATTCATGACTGCTTCAGGGTAATGCTCCAGGTTGCGATGTTTGATTTTCAGTCTTTCATTAGGAAAAATATCAATAAACATAGATAAATGTAAGTCTATTAAGTATTTTAAGTATGAAATCATCTCTAAACTCAGTTCCGGAGATAATACCAATTCTACTATGTTTTTTAATATAATTAACAAGCTCCAATAATTACATGAATTATCTTCTGGAATAAGGTCTCCAATCATGAGTGGTAATAGTTTTATTAAAGTTTTATTTGCTGAAGCATTACCACCTATTGTGTTCTTAGCACTAAAATTAGGGTCTATTTTGTAAATTTTGTTCGCTTTATCAGACCCCTTGAAAACAAAAGATTTAATACGTTCATTCAGTAAGTCAAAATTCAGATAATTATCTAATATAAGATGTTTTAATATCAGGGCTATCTCATACGGAACAATACCTTCCAGCAAATCATGCATTGCATCAGGAGGTAATCCTTCAGTGACGTGAAAATATCTGAGCTCATTAAATGGGCAATTGCTGTTAATACCATATATCACTTCATTACTTTTATCAATAGCTATCTGAGATAAATGATAAGCATAATTATTTTTCGTCCTCTTAATTGAATCAATGTTTACTTTGCCAATATCTTGCTTTTGAATAAGACAGTGTCTGCAGACGCGAGAGGTGTTTGATGAAAAGGATGTGCTAAATCCACCTAGAAAAGAAAATTTGATGATAAATTATCTCCAGAAATATAAGCAACACTTCCTTTTAAGCATCTTCCTAGTTTTTCAACGTAGATCCCCTGAGTTTCCAAAACCTTCAAATCTTCTAGAAGAGGTTTCACTGTATTCTGTAGAGTAAAATTTTTCATGTCTGTGTATCTTATAAAGAGACATGGTTGAATAGCTTGTAATTGTGAACGATGGTTGGGAATGATGTTAAGAAGTGTGTAATAAAGGCATGATATTTTATGTCTGCTTTTGTACATTCCAAGTGGATTACAAATATCTATTTCATCTAAGTAGAGATGCAATTGTAAAGTAATACCTGATGAAAATAATTCATTTTTCATACAAAAGTAGCTGCTATTGAAATCAGAAAACATTTTACTATTAGGTTGATTTATCTGTAAAACATCTGACAAAATGCTGTCATGTTTTAATAGGTTTGAAAGAGATTCTAAAATGGGTATATATACATAAAACCTTGGAATTCCATTTATGTCGCCTGCTCGATATTCAACTGGTTTCACTTTCAGGAAAATTCCCATTTGATATGTATAATTTTCTTTTATAACTCGAAGATAAAATTCCATCTGAAAAAGATGATTCAAGTATACTTTTATTATCTATGCTTTCAGATAATATCTCATCTATTGCATTAGCTGGTACTCCTTTAAGAGAAGCCAAAGATTTTATCTGTTGAAGTTTCAATGCAGAATTCATTTGAAGTAGATTAGAAATGTCTGACAGAACTTCTGTTATAGCTGTCTGACTCATGTTTAATTTGGCTTCCATTTTTAAAGCAAAGCAGGCCAGAAAATTATCATAGTTAATATATGATAGAACATCTAAATTTTCTTCAGCATTCTTATTGTGAAGTAATTTTTGCAAATTTGAATTTACTGTGCCGAAAGCACTGTCATTTCCAAACTCATTTTGATTTTCAACATTATTCACACGGTGCTCGTCTTTAAAAATCCATTCTTTTCGTT